TATCGAACTCGACATTCTCGTCATATCGAATTATATTATCTAATCTGACCCACCAGTTGATTTAGAATTCTTAAGAAATATTTCAAATTGCTTTTAGATACAAGTAATTAGATATTTAAGTGCGAAATTATTTTTATTTTTCCAATTACTAATATAAATGTACTTTGCTTATTTGTAGGCTACAAAAATACACGAATTTTCTCAATCAATATTTTTTTAAGCTTTGTCACGTCGTTTTGTAGTCGTCAAATGAATGTCAAACGTCATATCTAACAAACTGGCCATTTCCAAATTGGCTATAACGTAAAATGGCCAATTGTGAGAGCTATCCACTACAGGTGGGTACATTACATTGTAAGCAAGATTTATTGCTTTTTTATCAGCTTTTGCGGGTAAAGAAACTCACACGAGATACTTACCGATAGATTACAGACTGCCTACTGCCTATAGAGGGTTAGGGTCACTTAATGCTTTTCTTCTTGACGATAATTCCGTTGTACGCATGGAGGACATTTGTACGATTAAGTTACAATTAAATACTAGAATTAATTCAAAGGATTATTAATATATAGATATCAGTGCAGTTGTTAGAAATACACCCGAAGAGTTTGTTACACAGAGTTAACACGCTCACTGCGTAACAGGCCGATATCTGCCCGACGCGGAACTTAAGCTGGTGCAGACGAAGAAAACTATGTCCCTATCGCTAGTGCGAAAGAAACAAATAGCATTATTTAATCAATCCTGGTTCTGGTGGGTCTAGAAAGACCTGCCACGGACTGGCGGAAATATCATCTGGGGCGCATTTCGTCCACCAGATAAAGATTTTATTTGCAGCAGTAAACGTGTTAATCTATGGAAAAACAAATATATTTTTTTTATAATATTAGGTAATCACGAGCAAGTGACTACTATTATTTGCCAATATAGCGAAGCGACCTTTGCCTAGAGGCAACAGAATTTACAAATGTCTACGTTTATTCAACATCGGAGGGGATGCTTAGTAAAAGGAAAAAAACTACTCCCCCCATCCTTGTGTGAAAACGGTGGAAAGTGGATAAGGACTAAAATAATTGCCCAACTAAAAAGAGGGTAAAGTTTTTCGTGCGTGTCTACGATTGTATGTACGTATTTTTTTTATATTACAAAAAAAAGGTAAAGGAGCAAGCGGCCACCTGCAACCACCGACATGGCGAAGCGACCGCTGCCCATAGACATCCGCAATTGCAGATGCCTTGCCTACCCTTAATTGACGGAGGAGACGCACATAAAGAGGACATTTTTCCTTCCTGCATGTGTGGTCGTGGTATTGCGTGTGGCGAGCCGACCCTACAGAGCGAAGATGTTAAAGCGGGCTCTACCACTGTTAGCAATTCCATCTTGAAGGTCAAGAGCCTCAACGATTGAACCAATTTTGACGAATGCGGCGTCATTCGTTTCGGCTGTTTCCCCGGAGTGACATCGGGTATGTTTCATCAGCACAAAACATTAACAGTGGACGTGAGAATTAAAAAAAAAACCGAGTTGGAATGTCCCTCGTCACTACTTTTTCTTTTCAAAATCTTTTTTTATTCGATGTTTTTCAGTAAATGGTATTCATCTATTGGATGTTTAATTTTCAAATATCTTTGAACTTCTAACAGCTTCATGATTGTAAATGATGTTGATATTGGAGTCATTTTCCAGTAAATCTTGATAAAATGATAAAGTATGCCTGCACTATTGTTTTAGATTGCATCTTACTAAGGGATAGGCTAACCTTTTGTGACTGCATAGTACTCTCATTTAGTAGTGCTGTTTGTCCAAGTCGATCATACTGATAACGTTTTGGCACAAGACTGATGAATTGTTACAATTAAACAATGAGACAAACTGATATCTTATTAATATAACCACATTTAATCTTGATCTTTCTAAAACAATGCCATCTTCTTTGTTACCTCTTTCGGCTGGATTATAACAAAACACTTTGTTAACTTTTTAAATGGTTACATTATAATTAAATAGGTGTTACATTATTGACGATTTCAAATTTAAATATATTATCGTATAGTGATGTGCAAAGTACGTAATATTATTTTTTTTATATATTGTTACAAAATATTAGAAACGGAAGTAGTAGTGAGGGGTAGTTTCATAAAATACTTTGCAAAGGCAGCTCTCAGTCTCTCAGTCGCTCAGTAGCTCAGTACATTTCTAGTCGTCACTACGGAACGTTCGATATCTTTTACGTAGTTGGCTTTGTGTATTTGTTTTAAAGTAATTTGTATCGAAATTAATAACAGTATCTACTAGTATTATAAAGAGGAAAGATTTTTATTTTTGTATGTATTGAAACAACTTAAGAACTACTGGACCAATTTCAAAAATTCATTTACCATTAAAACGTTATGCTTTCAGGAACATAGAGGCACATTTTTATTACTCTTAAGTTTCACTCAGACGAAGTTGTGAGCAACAGCTATGTTTAATAAGCAAGCGCTTGACAACTATCCCAGTGATGTGGTCGAAAGCTGGTACGAGCTATTATTACTCACTGTAAAGAAATAAGTTATAACCATAGATGAGGTATGATCAAAAGGGAGTGAGGATTGTATGACAGAAGATAGATTAACCTGGAGAAGGAATACCTAATTTCAGAACCTACGGAGTAGAATGAGGACTGGCAGATCTTCTGTTATCTGACGCATTTATGATTCTACAATGAGTTTTTTATAATGAAAGAAGATGGACAGAAAAAAACTGATTTCGAAATCAAAAACATTACAATACCTTACATTTCCTTAACACAACACAACTATAATTTCTCTGATCTTGAATTTATAATAGTATTTACTTCATTATAAAGGAAATAGTTATAATTTTATTAACTTGTAAATAAAGTTGTTACAATGGACAAGATATTAGTATCGTATTATGATCAAAACAATGTACCTACAGCTTCGCTTTCCTATATTTGGAGGTTATAAGATATTTGGCATAGACCAGAGACCTAGGTGAATATTTTTTCAAAAATAAGTGCTTCGTAATGTTGATGATGGTTCGCGAATAAATTTCATTTAACCTTGGCAGAGGTCAAGCCGGTACGAACGGTCCAACAAACAGCCACGCAAGACGCATAAATTAACATAAACATTCTAAATAATAGCATTTTTTTGCCAAACTTAGTTATATTTGTAATTATTATTATTTTTATAATGCAAGAGAGGCGTGCCACGCCCGTGTCAAATACAAGTTCGTTCTCTGCTTACCCATATGGATTATAGACGTGAGTAGTGTTTTATAATTCCCTCTAAAGTAATGTCTTTGGTTAAGAATTTATTTTTATTTTTATTTAGTGCGTAGTTCAGGATCCACACGGAAAGAAAAGCATTGTGCAAACATTACGATTGATGTTTAATTGTATATTTCGAATTCTAATACATAATATATCGTAATATTAGAACAAAATCACAAGCACCTTAATAAGATAAAAAGGTTCATCATTTCATCAAAAGGAACATCGTAGGTCTACAACTTTGTATTACAACAGCAGCCCGCAGGTAGGAAGAAATAGTACAAAATAAATTTAATAGGTAATAAATATTTCGTCTTGGCTTTTTGTACCGTTTTATAATATAGCAGTTATAATATAGTTAGTGTAGTATATATTATCTGTGATATAACGAATTAACTATTATTAAAAATAATTCCTATCAAAGGTAAAATTATCTGTACCGGACAAGGGCGAAGTTAAGGTATTTTATCTGTTAATGTGATTTGATATAAATTACATTACTTAATACCTATGTTATATTTTATTGCAAGACTTTTAATGAAATAATAAGTGAAAGTGGGTTTTCAAAACCCGACTGACGTGTTTTTATGCCGATTGAAACATTGTAATATAACTTTGGGTCCTAAACATTTAATCTTCGGACCCCAGAGATTGCTCTTATTATCCTAACGAAAGAGCGGGATAGTGAGATTACTTTCTCTGTCTATTCAAAAGCTATAAAAACTACAAACGCTTTTTTTATATTATAAGAACTGGCTTTGAGATGCGATAGACGCAGAACCAGTCACCTCCATGTATTCCAAAAATGGCTCCAATTTATAAATTTCAATTTCAAAACTCCCGTAAAGATTTACGCAATGTTTTCGTATTTTTGATCAGGGGCACATACATCATGATTACTAAGTATTTGTAAATGAAATTATCCAGACGATAATTTTCTATTATTTGATATTTGCTAGCAGAGGACATATATTACGTATTTATTTTAATGTTTTGTTCGGGAACTCACGACCGACCACGTCCGTGTTTAGTAACATACAAGCGTTTAAAGATGAGCCACACGAGCGGCCACGGCTGCGGCGTGTTTACGGCGCAATATGACAAGCAGAGATTTCGAAAATAAAACTGGACAAGAAAAAATGCTATAAAGAGCTCTCTTCATCCTGAACAAAAATCACATAAAAACATATTCAGTTTTCATTAATAAGTAGAATCTAATGTAAACTAACGTAACGATAACTTTGCTACTACTTTAACAAATAACAGGTACACATACACAATAAAAGTGACGTTTTTCAAATGTTCAGGTATACTTACATTGAAAGACAGATATGACAAAAGGCCGAAAACATAAATTACCTTGCATCGTCAGTGGTAAGTTAAAATTTGTTTGTGTTCGGAGAATAATCGCCTTTCTACTGTAAAAGTTAAAGTTTGAATCTAAATGTCGTCAATTAAGACTTGCTCATTTCACTTGTTCGCTATTCAATTGGACCCCAGCCGAAGGAACGCTGGTGCGGCGCGGCGACGCCCGTGTGGCATCTATGTTTGCTTATGACTAAACATGCGGCAGTTGAAGCGCTTTAAGCTTGTGGAACGCTGTCCATACACAAAACACAGCGCTCTACGCTTGTGGCGTCACAGCACATACGCCGGATAAAGCGCTTTACACATGTGATACCGCTTAACGGTTGTGGTTGGTCTATATAAACCGAGTTCTGCCGCGACGTGCCATTTGATAGAACAGTACTCGACCAGTGCGTTGCTTCGTGTGTCGTGAAACCGGTCTGTCTTGCAACTACAGAAACCATTCTAACAACAAAATGGCTTCGAGAGATCCCGCGTCTGACCAACTTGTGAACTACAGTAAAGGCGTAAAGGTAGGTGAAATTGTTATTATTTTATCTGGTTAATGAGAAGCGTAGTACGGTTATTTTAAGCGCTGTATTGTTTTTGTTGTTTGGAAGTTGAATTAATGTTACTTTATAGTTGTTGAATATCACAAGTCATTGTTTATCAGTTTGAACTTTGGTCATTATTATTTAATAGTGTACGTAAATGTTTTTATTTATGCTAAGCAACTATTATATAATATTTCGAATCTAATACAGTGTTTAAAGTATTCTTTTTGTGATTATTTTGACATGATTTAGTAAAATTGAAATGTATACATTTTTCATAAAATGTTTTTTTTTAATAAAGTTATGATAACATAGGATTAGCTACAAAGAATACTTAACATACACATGTGTTATTTATAAAGTGTTTAAGTAGTGTTTAAGTTACGACATAGACCAAAGTTTAATTTGTGACTGTGCTCTGCGCAACGCGATTTCATTATTAATAATTTATTTGTTTTAAAAGAATCTTGAATTATGTTTTCATGTGATTAAAAAAGTAAACGATATTTTGCTGATGCTTATTATGTGATAACTTGGTATTACAAATAAATTATTTTCAAGGTCAATTAAGTAAAACATATTTAATGTCATAAGAAGAAATACAAATAAATAGGAACATATCCAAGAGGAACAAGCGATTTGTATAATTTTCATATTAAAAAATCTTGGTGTTATCAACAAAAACAATACGTCATATTCATTTGTTTTTCGTTAAAATTGCGCATAAAAATTAGTACCATAGGTTTTTAATTATCCTGGTCATGGCATAAGTGGGTATCTAGCTGATAACCTATCTCAAACTACTTTATTGTAAGAATGAAGATTTGAACCCGGATTTACGAACAAAAAATAATATCAGAATAGTAAGGAGTTTTTCGATACAATTTAATGTGCTGTTTGTTAATTTTTTTATCTAATAAATAAATAAGTTATCACTTTATGATAGAGTATTGACGTAGATAGAGGTCTTAAATGTTATGAGGAGAGAATATATCGCCTCTTATCACATACAAATACATAACTAAAATGTGCGAACTACTAAAACAAATTATGTGTTATTTGATATCGGGTGAACTTACGGACCTCGGTATTATAATCTATGATAACTAGGATTATCACATCGTTTTTTAAAACTGAAACGTTATTTAATTTTGTTACCACGAAAACCATATCCGCCGGCTTTGCCTTATCATTGACCAAGCTCTAGATACCTACAATTATTATATCTGTATCGTAGATAACATTACATACCTTTAAGTGATATCAACATACAATAACAACCTTTACATAATTCCTTTATAAGTTTTAAACGAATTGTGGTTTTCGTTTTCAGGATTCACCTGGGTACATAACGACCAAGTCCGGTGCCCCGGTCGGAGTCAAGACAGCCATCCAGACGGTCGGCAAGAATGGACCCGCCCTGCTGCAGGACGTTAACTTCCTCGATGAAATATCGTCGTTCGACAGGGAGCGCATCCCGGAGCGAGTTGTGCACGCTAAGGGCGCCGGTGCTTTCGGTTACTTCGAGGTGACCCACGATATCTCGAAATACTCAGCCGCAAAGGTGTTCGAGTCCATCGGCAAGAGGACCCCGATCGCAGTCAGGTTCTCGACCGTGGGTGGCGAGA